TGTGTGTGTGTGTGTGTGTGTGTGTGTGTGTGTGTGTGTGTGTGTGTGTGAGACAGAGACAGAGAGAGAGAAAGAGAGATTTGTTGAAGGATGTTAGAGAAGGAGAGAAGCAGAATGGGAAGGTGGAAAGAGCAGCAAATACTGGCCCCAGGAAAACGGAAGCTGGGGGCCCTCCCTGGTGGTGCAGTGGGTTAAAGCACAGCACTAAGAGGTTAAAGCCACTTCAGCATGAGTTTAGTCCCACCCTGGAGGTGACCCGCATGGTGCAGACCTCTCCTGACGCGCCCACTGCTCCCCTCAGTAGGGTAATTCGTCAATCTTCCTGTTCTGTTCCCCACTCTGTTTCTGGTGAATCCTCTCGCCGCTCCTGCACCTCTGGCCTGTACCCCAGTTTTGTATGCATAAATAAATAAATCTTTAAAAAAAAAAGGAAGCTGGGGCTTTAAGAGATGCCTTCCCTTGAGGCAAGGGGCTAGACTTGTGCATTTCTGGTTCCGGTAGGACTGAGGGCTCCTGGTCATGGTGGCCAGAGGAGCCTGTTAGGTGGTTCCATGGGCCAGGAGCATAATTCAGAAGAATCATGGGTGTGGCTGCCGGGTGTGGGTGTGTGAGGCAGCCTTCACCAGCTGCATAGGGGACCTGAGCAGGGTCAGCAGCCTGCAACTGGAGGTGAGTCTGCAGCACAGGAAGTGGAGTGCGAGGGCAAATGCCTGTGGAGAGACATTGCCAAACTGCTCTCCATAAGGACACTGTCAGTTTACATCCTACCATGAACATCTGATATGTCTGTTTCTGCACAATCTCACCACATTCATCTATTTTTAAACTTTCAGAATTTTTGCTAATCTTATAGATCAAAAAAAAAGTTGCGTCCAAATGGTTTTCATTTGCGTGTCTCTTAGAATGTGATAGGTTGGGCATAGTTTCACGTATTTCAGAAATGTGTAGTTTTGGTATGAAGTCTTTGTTCATGCCCTTTGCTGATTTTTCTTTGAGGGCTCTTGGTTTGTCCTTCCCATTTCTGGGTGTTCCTTAGATTGAGCCGATTGATCCATATCACATCTGATGTGATAGGATGTGAGTGGCACAAATTCCTCCTATTTTGCCTGTGTCTTTTTACTTGGTTTAAGGTGGCTTTGGTCAAGCTGAGGTTTTTGATCAGAGGATGGAATGGACACGTAAATGACACATTATGTAAATCACACAGTGCGAGCCACTGCCTGCGAGGCTCACAGAAGTCCTTCCCCTGCCCTGCTCTGCCCTCCCGCTTCATCCAGTTCTGTTCATTTTTCCCCCTTAGATGCCTTCCCCTCCTGCGGGCATTCTCTTATTTTTCTTACTGGAATGTCTTTGTCCTCATTGTGGACAGTGAAACTCCTACCCACCCCTTAAACTGCAGCCCACATGTCATGGGCTCGCTTATAGCCGAGCACCTATACCTCTCAGCCATCATAATCCGTGTTGAGTCTAGTGATTTGCACACATCTACTGAGCCTCAGGTCCCTAAGCTATAAAATGGGGTTATTGGATGGAATCATTTTTTAAAAATGATTAAAATGATGCGTGCTTACTGTTGTAGAACACCCCAAATTAGAAACTTACACATTTCAAAATAGCAGTTACACAAGCACATTCACTTCCAGTGGGGTTTCACTGTTTACACTTCCTTCTAGACCTTTCCTAAGCCTGTGTAAATGTAGGGTAAAGAGAGAGAAGTTTTTCTTAAAATGGAATCATACTATCTATACTAGTCCCTCACTGACTTTATTCACTCAATAAAATGACATGGATAAGATGATGTATTTAAAGCAGCTGACTGTGCTCAATAAATCTATGACTTGCTGTCTGTTGGGATTGTTCTAGAGAAGCACTTTGTGGTGATGTTTTTAAACTTTCTTTTTCATAAGATCATGTATCAGGGCCCTCCCTGGTGGTGCAGCGGGTTGGAGCGCTGCACTGCAAAGCTAAGCCAAGCCGGGGCCGCTTCAGTGCGAGTTTGATCCTGCCCCAGAGGTGACCCACATGGCGCGGCAGACCTCTCCTGACCCGCCTGCTGCTCCCCTCAGCAGTGTACTTTGTAGATCTGCCTGTTCTGCTCCCCACTCTGTCTCTGGTGAATCCTCTCACCATCCCTACGCCTCAGGCCTATACACCACTTCTGTATGCATAAATAAATAAAATCTTAAAAAAAAAAAAAAACATGTATCAAACACAATCATCTGGAAGCCCAGTTATAATGACAGAGGAGCTCCCGGAAGGGGTGGTGGGTGTGGAGCCCCTCACCTTGTCTCCACCTTGCTGCACGCTGGTCAGGATATTGGTGCATCATTCTGCTAGCGAGGGCCAGAGCCTGCTATACCAGGTCAAATCCTGTCCGCTCCTCTGCACAGCCACCTTCTGCCTACAGCTAGGACATGCATGAGGTTGTTTGTTTTTCCCTCTCTGCAAAATGACCCACTGATTTGAACTCAAGGATCTTGGTGTTTGCAGAGTCCTACTTAGAGAAACAAGGACTACAAGAGTAACAACAGTGGGGCCAAACCAGGAAAGAGCCCTCTGAATGGCCATCTTCACCTGGGGTGAGAGCTCTTTTTGTCAGGGTCCAGTTTAAGAGTGTCAAGTGTTCCCTCCACCCCTCTAAGGTGTTTGTGGGGCTGACACTAAGCTGAGCTGAGGCACTGGCCTGGTCCCATCAGGAGCGGGCTCCTCCCGACACATCAGCTCACCCTCCTCCCTCTCAGAAGCCGGTGGAAGGACTGTGCTTCTACTGCTGTTAGTTGCACTGAATTTTCCCTGGAATGAGGAGCGGGCACTTGAGGTTTGGCCCCCCCCCCCACTTCTGGCCCATTGCAGCTCCCAGAGTTTCTGAGGTAGCTAACTGAACTCTCTCCCACTTGAAACTCCAAAGCAGGGTGAAGTATGATTGAGGACTGTTGGGGTGAGGGAAGGGCAGCATTGAATCCCACGGAGCCAAGCCCCGAGCCAAGAGGGCTGGGGAAGGACTGAGGTTCCCAGGGAGGTATGGGGGTAGCCAAGCTCTGACATCTTCTGGTTTATCTTCCCCAGAAAAAGAGAAGAGGAGCTTCTCATGGCCTGGACACCCAGGGCCTATAGAACTGGCTGGCTGGAGAAAGGGTCTTATCCCACTTGGGAAAGCCCTCAGCTGAGGCTTCTGAGATGAGTTTCCATCATGGCTTTAGGCTGGTTTGTTGGGTAGCATAGGAGGCAGGCAGCCCTGGTTGGAATCTTGGGGCTTCAATCTGTCTGTAGGATAACCCTGGCAAGTAATGACTCTCTCAGCTCAGTGTCCACAGTGTGCTACAGCTGCTACCATCCAGACATGGCCCTGTATGCATCTATGAGACTGCTGGTAGACTAGCCCAGAAATAAATGCATGAAGACTGTGTTCAAAATGCCTGGACAGACACCTCCAATCGTTAAGATAGCAAAGGACATGAGCAGAAAGATTTCACAAGCAGTAAATGGATCTAGGAAGAAAATTACAGACCTGGAGGTAATTAAAAAATAGTGAAAGCAACCGTTTTGTGCTTATTCAGCTAACAAAGTATAAAAATTAATAATATTCTCTGCTGGCAAGGTAGAGCTCTGAGTGGTATGTGTGCAGATTTTATGCAAGACTTTCAGAAAGCCACACCATGCTCTGTAGTGTTTGTAACTTTTGATACAGTCAATGGAATTAATCCTAAAATAATAGTCGTTTTCAAAATGTTTATTGTAAGAATTTTCCAAACATGCAGAGTAAATTAGAACACTATAACGAATCACCCTCTACTAAAGGAATGAATATTTTTAGAGGAAAAAAGGTCACATGAGTAAGAATGTCCAGTTAAAAATTGCATACAACCTAAATATGTAACAGGAGAATGTGTGAATAAATGAATTTGTTCAGCTGCGCTATCCTGTAGCAGTGAAGATGATCAGTATGATTATATGGAAAAGAAAGCTTAACTATATGGAATATATAGCCTCATGTGAAGTGAAAGGCAGAATTTAAATTGTATCGATAGAGAACGACAATAGTGTAAGAACATATATTTGCACCAAAGTGGAAAGAAAGTGTGCAAAACCATTCACTGGGGAATTCCTAGCCAGAATCCATTTCTTTCTCTTTGAATATTGTTATTTTTACAATAAACATAAATGAGAGGGATATTTTAAAACCTGCCCTGAATCGGTGGGTGAATATATTTGTTGGGCACATATTTCTCAGGTGAAAGATTGTATTCAGCAGTGGCTGACACAGAGCTCAGTTTGGGGGCAGGGACTGGCCATAAGCATCGCAAAGACTCTTAGAATGTCAGAGCTGCAGGGACTACTCTAACACGCTGGTTTTGCAGTCTGCTTCTGAGGCCCTGAGGAGCTGAGTGACTTCCCAGAATAACCCCGGTTATTCTTCCACTTGTTGTCTAGTCCCTGTGCCACGGTTGTCTCCACAGGTCCCTGAGTGGGCTCAGCCAGGGCCACTCCTCCCAGCAGCATGTGGGACTGTCCCCCACCATCCGACTTTACCCAGTCTCTGCGACGAGTGGTCAGCTGAGTTCCAATGCGCTGCCCTTGGGGCCGGGCCTGGAGCGGAGGGATGGTGCCCAGCGGGCAGCATATCTGGACTACTCGTCATCCCCCTGGGGTAAGGCTGTCCTATCTTGGGGTCCCAGCAAAGCAGGACATAAGTCTCTGGAATTCCTTCCCTCACCTTCACTGCTGCCTCCTCTCTCCTGGAGGGCTGAGCTGTCACCTGTCTCTCTGAGCACATCAATAGTTACCACGCACCTGTGACATACCGGCAGCCTCAAACCAGCTGGTGGTGACTTTACCTCTTTGAGACCCTTGACCTTACCTGTTGTATTTCCGCACCCTCCGCCATCCATTCTGCCTTTACTCCCTTTATAACCTGCCATGAACCTTAGCTCCGTGGCCTGGTCCTTCTACCTTATCCTTCCTGCAAGCCCCAGTCCTGAACCAACAAGGCCAGTTGTTTCCTCAGCACCTACCGGTGGGCTCTGTATCCCAGAGACAGGAGTCTCCCTGGGGGCCCACTGGGCATGTTCTTGGTCACTTCCCTGTGTGCCTGGACACATTCTCTTTCTGTCATTCCTCAGAGCCGCTACTCCACGCTGCCCCCAGCTTCCCAAGTCCCAACCAGAGAGCATGTGGACATGCAGCCAGCTCCAGGGAGCCCTGCCCTCCTGCATCTGCCCACCATGCCCACTGCCTCCTCACCTAAGCCTGTGTCCCATCACCTGAGCAGGCCCTCTTTCTAAAATTAACCACTTTAAAAGGCGCACATCAATGGTTTTAGTACAGTCACAGTGTTGTGAAACTGCCATCACCCTCTAAGTCAGGACAGTCACATCACTCCAAAAAGGAGCCCCACACCCTTTAAGCCGTCACTCCCTGATGCTCCCTTCCCCCAGCCTCTTGCCCCATAAATCTGCATCCTGTCCCTATAGATTTACATATTCCAGAAAGTTCTTGTAATGGAATCCCACAATATGTGGCCTTTTGTGTCTGGCTCCTTTGCTGAGTGTAATGTAATGTTTCTGAGGCTGACTCTCAATCTGTAGCAGCCCACCCCTTGTTGTAGAACAAGCCATGTAAAGGAGACGGTCCCCTTCTTGTCGAGGGCACAAGCCTCATTCTTTCTTGTTTCCTCTGGACACTCGTCTGTCCCTTTCCCCTTCAATCTGTCCCCATCACTCAGACCTTCTCTTCTGCGTATACACTTGCTTACAGCCCTCTCTCTCCATCTGTCTGTTTGCCTGTCTGTTTGTCTGTCTGCCTCTCTCTCTTTCACTCTCTCTGTCTCTCACTCTCTCTCTCTTTCACTCCCTCTCACTCTCTCTCTTACTTTCTGACTCTCTCTCACTCTCTCTCTCTCTTTCACTCTTTCTCTCTCTCACTCTCTTTTACTCTCTCTCTCTTTCACTCTCTCTCTCTCTCACTCTCTGTCTTTCACTCTCTCTCTCTCTCTCTCTCTCTCTCTCTCTCTCTCTCTCACACACACACACACACACACACTCTTCTCCTTCCCCTCTGGCTTCCTCTCTCCTCCCTTTGACAGACTTCCTGATCTCATGGTCCACATGCACTTTTTATACTTCCCTCCTGGCTGGAAAGCTCAGCTGGCTCCTTCCTGCATCTTTCTTTCCTATGAGTGCCCTGTACCTTCACAGAGAATATATCACTCCAACACTTCTAGTCAGCAAATATGTGGGGCTTTTCTCTGAGACACCAGCTGGGTGCCCTACAGTTCAACCCAGTGCTGACGCCCTCTATTCGGAGACAACACCAGATCCCATCGGACTGGGCCTACCCCACTTCAGAAGCTGTTAGCAAGTAGTAGGGGACCCCAGAAGGATCCACAACTTCTGTCAGATTTGGCTACAAGTCAGTCTTCCTTGACCCCCACCTTGGGTTCCATTAATTTGCTAGATCAGCTCTCAGGACTTGGGAGAAACACATTTACCAGCTTACTTGGGGACATGGTTCAGGACTCAGATGAACAGCCTGAGGGACAGGTGCGCAGGGCTGGCCCGGGAGGGCCCAAGGGCAGGGGCTTCTGCCCCACAGAGCTGCAGTGCGTCAGCCTCCAGGTATGTAGATGTACTTGCCTACCTCAAGCTCTCTGAACCCTGTATTGCTGGGATTCTATGGACTCCCTCACTCGGGCACCTTCATTATGACTGCCATTTCCATCTCCGCTCCTCTCAGGACGTGGTGCTGAAAGTCCCAAACTCTGCCTATGGCTTAGTCCTTCTGGCCTCTCACGAGTTACCTCATGAAAACAAAAGATGCCCCTGGTGTTTCTTTCACTTAGGAAATGACAAGGACTTCAGGAGCTCTGTGCCAGGAATTGGGGGCAGAGACCAGTCCAGCTATTTTCTATCATCTCACACCTCCTCAACTCTGACTTCTGGCTTCCCCCCTTGGGCTCCCTATACTGAGTGAACGCCGCTTGTTTTATTTCCACTGCCACGTGGCCATGTGGTGACGAAGCTTCAGTTTGTACCACTATAGTGCCCTCCCAGCTGTTCACCCAACCTCCCTGCACCCTGCTGGGAGAACATTAGATTCTGCGCCCTCCCCCAACCCCTCTCCACCCCCGGCCCAACACACACACAGACATTTTCTCTTTGATTTCTTACTGAAAATCTTCAATGGCTTCCCCATTACAACCAAATAAAGCAGCCAGTCCTTTAGCAACCATGGCCCCAGAAAACCTAATAATCTTTCATGCTTTATCATCCTCTACCTGCCCTGGAAAACTCACCACTCTGGCAAGCCTGAGCTATGTCCTGTTCTCTGCCCTTTGGGGGTCAAAGCCCAGCCATAACACTTGCTAGCCATGTAATTTGGGGCAACCTAAACTTCTCTGGGGCTCGGTTTCCTGATCTGTGAAATAGGAATGTCTTGTTGCCAATATTCAATCATTTGACCGATAAAAATGGCGATTCCTAACAATACAACCTAAAAGGACACTCACTCAGGAAGAATGAGAATTAAGGTGTGTAAAGCCATGAGCATGTGTCTGGCATGTTGGTTTTTCTCAATTAACAGTGGACTACAGGGTTCTCAAGGTGTTACTCTGCCCCCACAAAGGGCCCTCACGTCCACCAGGGATTAGCAAATCTCCTTGGGATGGATATGCTCCCTGGGCCCATGAGCCTTTCTAACCAGCCTCTAGAGGTCACAGCTGTGCCTCTTAGCCCTGCCCCCTGGACCCAAGCCCTCTCTCTGCAGGACTGAACCTCACCGAGAAAATCAAGAAGATCAAGATTGTCTTCACTCCCACCATCTGCAAGCAGACCTGTGCCCGCGGACACTGTTCCAACAGCTGTGAGCGTGGCGATACCACCACCCTGTACAGCCAGGGTGGCCAGGGTCACGACCCCAAGTCTGGTTTCCGCATCTGTGAGTCCCCCCTCCGGAGATGGCTCCCGCTGGTCCTGGTGGGATGGTGGGTGCAGAGGGACAGGCCTGTCTGTCTGGAGCCCAGAGGAGCCCCACTCCTCTGCAAGAAGGAAGTCACTGCTCTCATCCTGTGGCCCTGCGAGTTGTCCCCGATCACACAGAACGCTGAGGCCTCGGCCGGCTCTGTCGTGCCTGTCTGTGTGGCCCGGGACAAGTCACATCACCTCTCTGCGTCCAAGTCTCCTTCACAGAGAAGTGAAGGAGTTAGTAACCCCACCGCCCTGGTCTCCCAGGTTAGCTCGGGGTCGAGGAAAAGTGAAAAAGGGCTTTTGAAAAAAAGCGGAGACTGGTTATTACCCTTGTCTACTCCCCGGCCTCAGGGAAGTCCCTGAGTTTCAGTGGGTACTGCTCCCCAAGCCATGCGGACTTGGAGTCCCGCGTCCTGCTCCTCGGTGGTCGCCTGCTGGCCACGTGGTGGGTGCTGCCATGTTCCTCCACCGCCAGTGACCTTGAGGTCAATGCCGTAGATTTCTGCCAGATCCCCTGCCTGAACGGAGGTCGCTGCATCGGCAGGGATGAGTGTTGGTGCCCTGCCAACTCCACCGGGAAGTTCTGCCACTTGCCCGCGCCAAAGCTGGACCCAGAACCTTCGGGAAGGGGCTCCCTCCACAGGGGCCCAGTGGGAGCCCCCTTGAGGCAATCCACCTTCACACTGCCTCTCTCCAACCAGCTGGGTGAGCGTGGGCTGGGGTGGTGGTGGGTGAGCCCAAGGTGGGTGAAGTCATCTGGCAGGAGGGCACAGGAGCTATTCCAGGTCCTTCCTTCACACTCATCCCTCCCTCCTCCGTCAGGGCTCAGGGCTCCCAAACTTCTCTGCCCTTCCGTCTGAATTCATCCACGCCCTGTGGCCCTCACAGTCCTGCCTTCAAGGAGCCCATGGTCCTGGATAATAAAGGAAGGGTGGATGGGGAAAAGAGTAACCCCGTGTGATATTTCTGTCCCCGGCCTGCCGTCATTAGCTGCCAGATAGAGAGTGCCACAAGTATACGGAATTCTAGAAGTGATCAGGGGAGACAGTCCCCCCAGGAAACTGAGGGGAGGTAGTGTGGAGGAGATGGACTTCAGTTAAGCCTCAGATAAGGGGCAGCTTTGGCTTAAGGAGAAGGAGTTTCCCCTGCAGAGGGAGTAGCACCTGCAGGTGGGACCGGGACAGTCACTGACCGGGCTGAGGGCCTGTCCGGGGCCTAGGGGCGGAGGAATGCTGAAGAGGTTGGGGAGCTGACAAGGTATTCATAATTCAGACCCTGACAGATGGGGAGGGAGAAGTTGGTGCCGTGTCCTGTTCTCACTGGGAAACTGCTCTGGGTCAGTTTGAGTGGAGAGTGAAGAAATGGAAAGAGTTTAAAGGAGACACTCAGGCAGGGCATTGGGGGGGGATGTGGGCGGGGGAGCTCTGTATCCTGCTCTGATCCCAGCCTCCATGCCCAGCCTCTGTGAACCCCTCCTTGGTGAAGGTGCACATCAACCACCCGCCCGAAGCCTCCGTGCAGGTGCACCAGGTGGCCAGGGTGCGGGGTGAGGCCGAGGCCCCAGAGGAGAACAGCGTGGAGACCAGACCCTCACGCCGGCTCCCCGCCAGCCGAGGCCACAGCCACTGGGACAGCAACATCATCCCCGCTCAGGCCGGAGAGGCCCCTCGACCTCCACCCCCGGTGGCGCCCAGGCCTCGGGGCCTGCTGGGCAGGTGTTACCTGAGTGCTGTGAATGGACAGGTGAGAACACCGTGCCTGCCTCAGCCCTGGAGGCGTCCAGCCCTGCTCTGCCCCTTCTCCTTCTAAGGAACGTGTTTGCAGATGGGAAGACTCAGGACATGAAATTGCCTGAGCACGGGGCTGCCTGCTGAGGCTCCCTGGGTCCCTGTCAGCACCAGGCACACGTGAGAAGGTGTGAGAAATTTCCCTTCCAGGAGGAAACCAGTGTCCTTAGGTCCCATTAAATCCTGGGGCCTCCTGGAGCTGAGTCTAGGTGTCCCCAGGGCACGGACAGGTGTTCTGTTACCTGGCAAGGTGTGTGGTATTCAGGTGAGACTGGGATCGCGCAATGCAGTTAAAACCCCAAAGCATTGGGGGCAAAAGATGAGAGACCCCCCACAGAAGGCACCCACAGCCTGGGGGGAAAGCAGTGAGAGTTCTGAGTCCAGGCACCTGAGTAAGAGTAGGGGCTAAGCCAAGCCCAGGCTTGTTTCTCTTGAGTTTGCTCTTGGTACTTCCAGATACCCCTCCTGAGGGTAGGGAAAGAGGCAGGGAGGCTGCCAAGGGAGAGGGGCTGAACCCCCAGATCCTCCTGATCTCTCAGCTTGTGGTGTCCTACAGCCTAGCCCCGCCCGCAGAAGGCTAGCACCGAGGGTGACCCTGGAGTGTGACCAAAGAAAGTCCATCCTTAGTGACCCCTGCGTGTGGGCAGGGGAGTGGGAGGGGGCAGTTTGCAGACCCACACAGAGCAGATCTTGTCCTGTTGGGGTGTCGGGCAGAGTGCAGGGCAGGTTTCTCTGCTTCCTTCTGTGACTTCAGCTCATTCTCTCCTCTCCTCCCTTGGGTGGGAGCATCCTCTGGCCAGATGTGAGGCTGAGCTGTCTCGGGCTTCCCTGGACATGTCTGCAGAGCAGAGGAGGGAAGAGGGGTTACAGAGCAACATGTGTCCATGGCTTCTTTTCCAGTGTGCCGACCCCCTGCTGGAGCTGACAGCCCAAGAGGATTGCTGTGG